GGCAGGCAGCACTGCCCGCACACAGGAGAAGTACGTGGTTGGGGGGACAGGCCACCTGCAGTGATGGCACTGGCTCTGGCAGCACGTGGGCAGCCAGGACCCTGGCCCCAGGGAGGCAGATCGAGGCACAGCACAAGCCCTGCTCATGAGAGCAGGGGTTTGCTGCCATCAGGGTGGCTGGGGCAGGGGTGGGGGGCAGCTTTGTGGATGGCTCAGCACCCTGTTAGGAGCAAGCAAAGTGTGCAGGTGTGGGAGAAGGTGTCAGGGCTGCAGGACTGGTTTGTGGCTCAGCTACTGTGTCCTTGCTGTTAGGACTGAGCGGTGGGAAAGGACAAAACCTTACAGGAGGAGGTAGGATGGAGCCTGGGCCTGAAAAATCTGGGGTTGGGAGGGAAAGAGGGGCTGCCCTAGCTATCTCCAGTCATGGCAGGGTCAGCACCCTTTCCACCACATCTAAACTGGGGCCCTGCAGCCTGGTCAGACCTTGCACCTGACTGCCATGATCACCACCATCATCACCAACGCCTCGCCAGGGAGACAGCAACGCAGCGCCGGGAGGGAGAGTGCCTGGCACCGGCAGCTCAAGGCTGGACTAGGCACGAGGGCTGCCTGGCATGGTGTGGGGCCCCAGGGAGCACGACGGAGACCCACGGCTGGATGGCCAGGAGAAGCTTCCTCCGAGCCCCGCTGTGGCTTTCAGACAGGCGCCTTGTCTGGATACAGTCACCAGCCAATAGAGAAGCTGTACATCGCTAGATTAGTTCTTTAGGTGATTAATTGCTCTCACCATTAAAGACCAGTGGCTATTAACAGTTTTTTTACTCCTACCTCTCCACCTTGCTCTGCACTGGCATAAATCAGTGCAGTTCCACTGACAGCTTTATACCAGGAGAGGATTTGCCTCCAGCCTTTCGTAGTTTGGAAAAGAGAAGGAGCAGAAGCAAGAGAAAGAAGTGCTGCTGGCCAGGGACTGGGGAGAAGAGGTTCAGGTGACCAGGGCAGAAGGATCGAGGCATTGGATGGGTACAGTGGAGGGCAGACACCATTGTTCAGACCAAGGCACCAGAGCCCCAATCCGGTTTTGATCCAACTGGATTTTGGTGAGTTAGAGAACCAGGCTGGGCAGGCACCAGGACCCTATACGGCAACAAAGACCATATGTGTACTGGTCTGGATGACTTCTGGATTAAAGATAACCCTGAAAACCAGCACACCGCGAAGAAAAAGACAGGAGTCCACATGTTCCATGCGATAAAGCTGTCTCAGTGCAGGAACATCCCTCTGGCTCTGACGTCCATGTGTGGGAAGCGGAGCATGTGTCCTGGGCAAAGGACACAAATGAACAGCACAGGCAAGATCAGATTATGTGAAATCCCCTGCTCACTTGACCTCCTTCACGTCCCATCTTCTATTTATATGCCTTGGGGATGCCAGGGACAGCACGGGTTGTCCTTGGCCCCCACTCGCAGGGCTGGGGGGCTCAGCCATGGGTCCATGGGGTTAGGGTTGGCCCCTGGAGCTGGCTGCCACTGCCTTGACAGGAGAGGCTTGAAGGGTTTCCTCCTATCAGCCCACCCCTGGGGTCTGCTATCCCACCTCGCTGGAGGTGGAAAGCAAACTGAAACACTACCTTGGACTAACCTCCCTGTCAAGGGAGAGGAAGGTCAAGGTGGACTCCTTGGGCTTCAGTGCTTGGGTTTCCTCAACAAGCAGTGATTTATTCTTTGTTTTATACGACATTTAATGGGAAGATCCTGGCCAGGGGCCAGGACTGGTTACGGATGCCTGCTTTGCCTTTCTCATGTTTCTCCCCTCTGTTCCCCCCCAGCAGGAGCTGCTCACTGCCTGCTCCTGAGCAGTGTGTGGGTTTGGGGAGGTAGAGATGCTGCTGACCCCAAGCCCAGGGTTTGGTCTCTGTGCTGGTCCAGCGTGACAGAACACAGGGCAGGGAGCACCCAAGGGAGTGCAGGAGCACCCCAAGGAGCCTGCGGGGAAGAAGACCCCAGTCTGTGAGGGGAGATGACCCCCATGGAGAGCTTCTGGAGAGGGATCAGGTCAGGGACTTGGTGGGGCAGGGCCCGACTCTGGCAAAGCAAAGGGGGCTTTTTGGGGAAGTGAAATGTGGATTTGCTTTTACTGCTGCTTTCTCAGCCTCCTCACAACAGGCTGGACACGAATCCCTGGAGACCTGGAAAGGTTATTTTCCTAGGAGTGGGAGCTAGGGCCATGGAGAGAGGGGGCGTTTGGTGCCTGTGCCGATCTCCCCCCACGAGGACACCCTCGTCGCACCCCACACACCGTGCTGCAAGGCGACAACAGACCCTCTGTACCTCAGGCTGGAGAAAACAGAGCCAGTAGCTTGGCATCATCTGGATTTAACCTTCCAGCTTAGAACCCTCAGGGAAGCAGGACGTGACCTCCTCATTTCCACCACCCAAGCATGGCTGGCAGCCGGCAGCGGCGGCACACAGCTCTGCATCTCCGGGCTGGAGCAATCAGTTCGCAGCAGGCATGCACAGACAAGTGTCAGCTGAATTCCTGTATGACTTTAAATACATTAGCAAGGCCACAAACACAGCTCCAAAGTGCTGCAGGCACAGCCAAGCCAGCAAATAACCCCCAAACCCACCAGCAAGAAAATAATCCTCCTTTTTCCCCAGGAGACAAGGTTTAGCATCACTTTCCCCTTATATTTGTATAGCAACTGAGCAGATCCACCATCTACCTTGCTGTGCTTGAATCCAGTACCAGAAGGGTCAATTCTGTGCCACTTCTGCGGAGTCATTATACTGTCGGTTATATAAATGTCTGGGCATGCACAAAAGGCAGTGCTGATACAGTGGCTCCGACACCAACTCTCTCCAACACCTGCTTTTCAGCTGGAGAGAAAGCCGAGCACAAGAACATCTCGAGAGCTGTCACACAGAAAGCTGCTGTCTTTCAAGCTGAATGGAGGTCTAAATAGCTCTCACTTCTCCTTTAGAATCTCATTTCTAAATGCAATTAATACTGGCACATGCATAATGAGAGACTGACGAGTGAATACAGACTCCAGCAATAAAGAAGCCAGCCCCAAGTGCGATGTAAATATTACAAATCCTCACTAGAAGCTGACCGGGGGAAGACAGCTTTCTGATGATTAAACCCAAGTGACAATACAACTGGATTCCTACATCTGTCACAATACTACCTGCTGATACATGAGCTACGCTAAAAGAACTAGCTCTTGCTGCTCTTCAATGCAGATAAAATGTCTATTTGTAGAATGTAATTAATCTCTTCTTCAAAATCAAGAACCTTAGTGTCCTTGGTAACAACATGCCAGTGACTCAGAGAGCATCTCTGGCTTTTTCTTCTGATTTTTGAGTGAATTATTGAAAGTGACCCCAAATTCTAGCGCTGGAAAGGAGCTGTGCTACAGAAGTGGAAAAGCCAGCTGGGTATCTGGAGGTGGGGATGGGTTTTACCCCCCCTCTCTGGTCTCTGGAGGCCTCCTTTGGCAGCTTAAGGAGGTTCCTGGGCTTGTTTCAGTCATGTTCAGGGTGAGATAAGCTCTGTCCCAAGACCTGGTCCCTAACCCATTGAGCACAAATTTCCTTTTACCATCAGGTGTAACCAGGCAGAGAATAATACTGAAAGCAGAGCAAGGGTGAGAATCAAGCTGCTCCCTTTTTCCTGGTTTCCACAGGCAGTAAGTGCTGTGCGATCATGCTCTGTGTGTGTGTACATGCACACACGTGTGTGACTGCTCCCCAAATGGCTTCTGGGTCTGCTGGCTTATTTCAGCCAGGTTTGGCAGGGGATAGAGGCTCAGAGACATCCAGGCCCTACCAGGTAGCAAAGATGCAAAGCCATGAGCACTGGCTGGCTGAGCCCCGGGTCTCTTTGAGGGTTCTGCTTGGGCATTGCCTGCTCCTCCAGCCTTCCTGCTCCAGACTGGCTGAGATGGGTGCTGAGAAGGCAACGCTGGGCCACTCAAAAGCACCCATGGCCATATCTGCTTTCTATGAATTTCAGTGGGAAGCAGCCACTGCCGGATGTCGCTCACTGACCCAGTTCCAAAGCCCAGGGGAAGGATGGGCCATGATAAAGGGACAGCTGGTTGGAGAGAGTGAGTGATGGAGAACTTGCATGATTTATTTATTTCCTGACAAAAAATTTTAAAAAATATTGTTGGATAAAATCAGCTTATTCCAGGCTAAACAGTGTTGCAGCAATTCCTTGTGGGACTTAAGCTGAGGTGCTTTGGTCCCGCTGTAAGGGCCGCTCACCCCTGCTGCTGCACGGTGCTTTGCAGAGCTGGGGGGACATGGGGAAAGGAGGTTTCTGATGTTACCAAGGGCTCAGCTCCTGCAATACAAAGCCACCCTTTCTTGCAGCAAGTTTTTGCTTTAATTTAGAAAGGGCTGCAGTCAGCACCCACAGTTCACCCCATCTCCTCTGTCCCCAGGCGTCCCGAGGGAGAAGAAGAGACCAGGAGAGAGGCTGGCTCTGACCCTCGCACCACGTAACACCGCTTCGGAGCAAAACCCAGGTGGGATGTCATAGTTATCTGGGATAGATGCAGCTTTGGGGAAATTGCGGGAAGAAAGTGATAGCTTGGGGTAAAAAGCCTCGTCTTTGTCTTTCTGTCCTGCTCACAGACCCCTCGGGCATTTTAATTTTTGATTTCCTTCTGTTTCATCCAGGATTTATAGGTCTCTGCCTACTGGTGAGGCTGTGAAGGCTCTAGAAAAGTGGCTCGCTCTGGGGGAAGGAAATTAGATCCTGAAACATCCAGATTGGAGGGGAAAATCCCATTTTTCCAACACTTTCAATAGCAGCTCAGTTCCTAGGTGAGGGCACAGCCAGCCTTTCCTTGGTGGCTTCCCACCTGCTGCCTGGATGCCAGGAGCACCTTGTAGAGGCAGAAAAGACAGCAGAGCTGGTGGTGGTCCAGCTGGGGTGGGCATGGGGTGCATGTGATGTGGGGATTTGGGACTGATGTGGCTTTGTGTCCTGCACAGTGACCCCAGGGAGTGAGGGCTGGCTCCAGGCTGTCCGTCTGCGGCTCCCAGCGAAGGTAGGGCAACTCACACCGCTGTCTTCGCCCCGGGAGGAAACCTTTGGTGTCCAGGGTGAGGGGACCCTGGCTTGGGCTGGGGCATGTGTGTGGGGTTCAGGGGGGAATTGAGGCCAGGACTGTCTTTTCTAATCCCCCCCAGCCTACAAGGCCCTGCTGAACAGGCTCCTGTGGGCAGCTCAGGGACTCACCTTGCCCTGCCTTCCCTTTGGCAGATTCCCCAAGGCTCATAACCTAGTCTGTCGGAGCTCAGCAAATGATTAACAGTGACTCCTTCTCCTGCAGCTTCCCTGCACTCTGCAGCCAGCACCCAGCACATCCCAGCCTTGGCACATGCTGAAAGCCCCAGCAAAACAACCCACAACGTCAACCTGCACACCGACAAACCCAGCTCCACTCCTGCAGCTCAAGGAGGACCAGGCACTGGGTTAAATGCTGGCACAGAAAAGAAATTTGCTTGTCTTTAAGGCTGAGCCCTGGGGGGTGGCCAGCAGCCCCATGGCAATGCCCTCTGCAAGCCAAAATGCAGCCTGCAAGCATGGGGCGAGCAAGCGTCCTGCTCCCGGCAGTGGGGTTCACACACCCTCTGCAGCTTTCCCATCTATATAAATATGTTAATAAAAGATCAGTTTGCAGACACAGCTTGCTGTAGATGACAGCATTAGAGGCGCATCTGTTTCTACTAAGCACAAGTCTCGTGCTGGGTTTATTTGGTCCATTTGTGGCGGGGAAGAGTTGCTTTCGGCATTCAGAGATGTCTCATGTCGGGGGCGGGG